AACATCACTTTATGTATACTATATTGGTGTCCGTGATATTGCCTAAGGCTATACACGACACAACTATAACTTAGTTGCGTGCTTGAGGTTCAAGGTAATGTGACATATTAATATGCCTGTTGTGCGTAAAAAATCAACCACTGGATATGCGTACTTACGTAAATACCGTCATGACTGTTATCTTAGATAGGGTAGTCAGAGGAATTGTCTACTGTTGATGCCGTGGCGGTATATGGTATATTTTAATCCAATGGCTAAAAGCCTACCGTCGTCTCTTGGATTATACTTTGTTTTGATTTTGTGTTTTTTTTTCAGCGGAGAGTAAGTCAGGAATATGGATTATTTACATACATATTTTATATCGTGTTCACCGGATTTAAACTTGAGCTCTCGGATAGTCAAACACTAGACGACGTAATCTAATATCCTCAAGACTAAGAAAGTGACAATTAATAATATGTTGATATTATATTTATTAACTTAAGATCGTGATGAAGTATGTTAAAAATGTAACTAAAAATTGAAGAAAATAACTATCTTACCCACCCTAACTGTTATGGAATGAAATTAATTAAGCTATGAAAGAAAGATGGCGATGATAATAGTTATTATATTTAGTATTTAAGTAGGGTATAGCCCTGCCTTTGGGCTGTTATTAAAGTAATGCCCCTGGATAATTACCATTGGCCATCTGGTCTCTCCATTTCATGTATCGTAGTGATCAACTTACTCGTAGTAGGAAAAGTTCCTGTGATTCTGATGCTGAAAATAAGAAGCAACAATACGAACAATATGTATATTAAACACATGAATAGAATAAAGAAGTATCGATATCTATTCGGTTTTGACAACGATATCCTTTACTAAACTCATAACACAACACACAATAATCCATTCGAATAGGGACGTTTCGGCAGTCGTATAAAAAAGAAACGATAACTGCTTACTGTAGGAAAGCAGTTATTGTAAGATATTGAAATACGAGAACTGGTATACAGTTTCGTTGAAAAAATAACATTAATCTTTCCCGATCCGTTGGGGTTTGCTACAATTGGGCTGCGGCGCACGATCATGTCTTGTGAGGACGGTAAATCTACTAATAGTTAATATTTTAATTGCTCTATATTACAATGTTAGAAGAGATACATCTTTATTTTTTATTATTTATATTAATTAATTTATATATATATATATATAATGTAATGGATTACCTAAACGATTTTCTCTGTTTGATTGACTCTCGTTATAACAGAGTTGTTGTAACTGTTTAAGTTCAAATAATGTATATTAAAATTATGCAAAAAGACAGCTTATTGAGTAATGTAAAACTATTCTGGCTGCGATTCTAAAAGCCTTCAAATATTTTCTAAAGGTAAATTTTATAAATTTAAAAATAGAATTGCAGATGTCAATATTATCTACTGTTCTGTTTCTTCCTACGTACAATATTCGAAAACATCTATAACAAACTGATTAAGAAGGGGAAATATTATATTTCTTTATTTATGCGAATAATAATCTCGAAAATGTCTATTAATAGACTCGGTTAAATTAATGAATTCTATCAAATCAATTGTTACTTATTTATAAAATATATTATGAAATACATTTGTTGATGTGAAATTATTATTTTGTTTATACCGTAGTGCTATTTTCGCTAGATTACTATTTAAGGACCAAAAAATAAACAGACCCTTCTCTGTCCCTTTCAGTGAACATTAAAATTTCAAATTGTTTCGGTCGCTTCTTATATGAGCTTTTATAAAATCGAATACACTCACACTTCTGCTACAATAGAATTTTAGCAAACAGGTGACTGTTTGCCAAAGACTGGAGATTAATGTTTTAGGTGTTTGCGTAATGCGTATATATTATGTCCATGTTCTATTTGTTCATAACTTCGTAAATACTGTTCAGATTTTAATAATTAAGTTTTAATTATAATTCGAAAATGATTCAAAATAGAGATCGAGAGAAACCCACGGTCTTGTCTATTTTTGTCAGGATATGTTGTTGATGTATATTTTTATTATGGTTCTTTTAGAAGAGTTCCCATATATAATAGGAAACATCATCACATCTTTCTTATAATAAGTGTTTTATTCTTCGTAGATTGCAATACAAGAAAAATGACAATTGAATATTTTACTAAGCATACTAAGCTCACTCCCACCTATATTCATTGATCACTTGACACCGTCCTGTACTCAATACTGTGGGCATATATATATATATATATATATATATATATATATATATATAATAATAATTGCTGTGAGACTTCGAGAAACCATACTTATATGATTAACGCTAAACAATATACATAATATATTTTTAATGTATTTATGACTGTGAGTATGTAATAGACATTTACGCAGTTTTCACTAATTGGTTGATTGACTTTATGTACCTATTACGATATTTTAGGGTGTAAATAAAAAATGTTTAATTTTATATTTTTTGTGGTGACAACACAGAACTTGTGTACGTATGTCGCTATTTATATATAGACCTAACGCCAACAATGTTTAATTGTAACAAAAACTGAAATGTGTACTAGCTTACGAACTAAGCATAAGTGAAGATTTAAAATTGACTTCTTTTTCGTAACAAAATGTTCTATAAGGCAATTTCATTATTCATAAATGGTGTTGGCAATGCCATAAGGCAAAGGCGGGATTTTATGCGGTCTGCGGCTGCTCGTAAATTATGGTCAATATTTTATGTAAATGCTCTTTCTTTTTGGTTTTCAGGCCTATTTATTTCCAGTTGTGTATATACGCATGTAAGACATAGCAGTTTATAACAGAGCAAATGGTCAGTGATAATACTCATAAATTTCTACAGTTATTTAATAAAAAAATAGATTTTTAAGTATGTCCCTGAGATTAATTTGGGATATCATTCTTATTGAATAATATCTAATGTATGTATAGCTGATGTATATGATTTCTAGAGTTAATCTAATGAAGCTTTTAATAAATACAGGCGACCCGCCCCGATTTCGGGTGCATTACGAGTCATTCAGTGTCTCGACCTTTCTGTACTATATTCGTGTATTATACAAGTTGGTATAAACCGTCTACTTGAATCACTCTGTCTATTGTTAAAAACTCTTTTCGTATTTTCAAAGTTCTAAATATTGCTGTATGAAAAAAAGTATCCGCTAATGTCTGTACACTTGGAAATATACATATATTAGAAAATGTTATACTTAGAAATGGTAATCTTCATAGATTAACATTTTCTGATAATTAACTGATTTGGAGAATACTGAATTAATATGTATCCTAACACGATATATGATTTCCTACAGAAGAGCTTGCGTAATGCACTGTATATTTTTTTATTTTTGTATTAGGTGTAAGGAAAATAAATAGCTGCACGCCGAAAAACAAATAAAATGAGATGTACACAAGCTATTATGTACGAAATCTTTTATCGTCGTACCCATGCGTAGGTAGTGTCGTATATTTATAATTTGTGCAGGATTATTTATATTTACCTAGTGTAACTGTTTGTTTCTTTGCAAACGTTTGTTTTTGTTTTCAGGCGTTGACGGTTCTTCGTGTTAATGATTTTTTTGTATATTTGTCATGCTAGACTATTTTTTTAGGAACTGGATTGATAAAAAGCGAACGGGTTCACGAACCACCTAGTGGCTACCGTCACCTGTATAACTTCATATTTTGTAAATTCGTTGCCTTATCTCATACCTCAACAGAAATACAGCTAATAAAGCAAAAGTTAAAATTATTAAAATTTTAATAGATATCATTCTAGGTTAACATGCTTAAATTAATTTACTACTTACTACTCTATTTCGACTTTTTAAATATACAATAGTCGCTTATATAACAAACTATATTTTGTTCACTAGTGCTATGTACACTCTTTTAATACGCGTTGGACATTTAAACAATATATATAGATACAGTATGTATTCTTACGTGAAATAATTCATTATTTATAAGAAATTTTGTCTCAACTTGCTGGGATTTTCCTTTAATCCTGTTTATCTTAGGGCTTTGTGTATTAGTAGGTGCTTAAAAATATCGGAAACTCGTTTAACAAGTTCACACTCATTAAATTTTGGCGCTTGAATTCTTGGTACAATTTTATAGGTACCTATTGACATCCTTTACTCACAAACAAACTGTTGCATAGACAAGGATTCTGTGGAAGACTACAAGAATCGCTACTAATTGACCTGTATCCAATAAAATTTAGTTTACTCGGTGAGATGCAATAGGCGGTAAGAGTACCAATTAAGTTTGATGACGATGTAATGGGATGTAATAATTCGTGGGATTAATTGGTACTGTGAATTGTTACTGCGCAAGTTTCATTTAGTAATTTTTGTTCTGATTATGAAAAACTGCACAAAAATAAACTACAATTAACTATTAATGAAATAGATCTCTGATTTCAAATATATGTAATATAATAATATATATTTCTAATATGTAATCTCTTGTCTTGGGGGTTCTTCAGACAAGATATGTGACACTTTTATACATCTGGCCATAACTATTAATTAGTTCGATCTACTTCGAGGTAAATGGTCTTAGAAAAGGGAGTTAGGGTGTTTATACTGCTGGCCCGACATACACGGTTTTTAAAAATGATATAGGAATATTGTGCCGCCAGCGCATAGCGAAGGCAAAACCTTCGCTATACGCTGTCGGGACACTAGTGGAAGATGATAGTAAGAGCAAGAAGTCAGATCAATTGGTCTAGTAGACCTAGAATTGTTTACCATAGGGTGGACGGTACACGATTTTGTTCTCATTATGCATACTAGATATATCCATGGCTTCCAGAGGAATCTACGAAATGTTCTATGTGATTGGTTCTATTGTTAGAAATTGGGCCATTAGGCCTATCACTAACAATTTTCTCTTCACTTACTTTCTACATAGTTATCCGTCATATCGAAATTGCCATATTCACTGCCATATTTCTACTAGTATACAATTAATCTTATCATTTGTCTGCAGGTGACTTTATCAAGCTGGTTAGGGCGGAGACATGGACCACGGATGAGACGTACTTACAGCGCACTCCAGGCGTTTCGTCAGCAACGCGCAGCCTGTCCTTCCGAACATCATCCACGAAGATTCCAACGGCTCAACACGGCAACCACCCAGCTCTATGATGCGCCTTCAAGAGCGCAGGTGAGGTCAGGCACAACCAAATTTAGTTGGGCTTGTGGTTGTGGTCTTTTTACTAATAATGCTACATTAGCTGTATAAATGCCGCAAATAGAATATGCATTGCATTATTTAGATATCCTTTCTTAACCAGTTATATGAATCGTTTACAATGAAGTTGAAGTTTTCTTCCTAGATTTCTACATTATATTCAAGTTGTATCAGACTGTTATTATTACTTTATAAGTCTAGAATGAAAATTAATATGATTAATTATACAAATGTGCATGTTCTTATTATATGTTTGTATAGTTTTGCGTGTATTGTAATATTCTTAGTTAGTTATTGTAATATTTTGTATTGTATTGTAATATTCTTAGAAATGAATAGATAATACATACAATCAAGGTATATTGATGTTAAAAACGTGAAAAACAGATATACATATTTGTAACCAAATAGGATTTACAATGACGTTCTTATTTCTTAAATAGGTATAAACAGTAATACAAAAAAGTACCTAAGTTCTTTTATTTTGAAATTTACGTTTTTATTTAATTATACAAGTACTAGTAATTTTAATTATATTATAAGAATGATCTCATGAATAATTTCTAATAAATAGTAATTAAACAACTGTATGTGTGTTTATGTTTTTAAAGTATAGGTAGGCACAATATATATATATATAATATTCAGATCTTAGTTACGGACCATAAAATGTGAAAATATAGTAGAATTTGACTAATTAACTGTTTGAAAAGTAAATTTTAATTTACTAATATTATTTGAAATATTGTTTATAATTTTTATTTCATAAGTATGGTACATCACAACTCAAACATATGACAGTTTAGAACTAGTGTGGCTCACCATTTCTACATTCAGTTTGTCTACAAAGTATCCCATAATCGAGGTAGATTTGTTCAACACTCGAAAAAGCTGTTACTTTTGTGGCACAGAATTTACCTTCCCTTTTCACTTCCGACGCCATTTTCACTCGCCCTCACCTCTTCACCCGATGAACGCGGAAATTTCTTTTGATTTTTTGTTCTCACCTCTTCACTGACGCGTTACTAATGTCGCCATTTTGACCATTGTTATTATAATTTACGAATATCATTACCTTAAACCTTCGAAATTGTTTAACAAATATTATTGATGATTTCTTATTCATCGAAAGTATTCTTCAAAAAACATTCCTGAATTACAAAATTTGGGGCGGATACAAAAAGCAATCAGACGAAACATGGAATTTAAATTGTTTAGGTATTCCCCATTTTAAGAAGTTGATGATACAAATATATTGCATCCGTTATTATGTAACGTGAAATACTTGTTGAACCTGTTGTCGGTATAGAAATATTTATTGTATAAGAATTTCTGGCCAAAGAATTTAAATGTTATTTTTGTAAATAGATAGGTAGCAAATAAGCTGTATAATTTTATCGATAGGTACATGATATATATACTTTATTTGTAGCAATTTAAAATTAATCATTATAATAGCCTAGTGCTCATAAAATATTGTATTTAATTAACCAAGTTTAAAACATTACTATTTCGACCGTATTTTTGTATGCATATACCATACCTACATATGAATATATCGGAGTTGTTTCAAAACATCTAAATCGATCCAGTTGGTTATTTTTTATCTAAAGAGTTTACTTCTGTATTGGTTCTATAGGTAGGTACGTATTATAAATAGAACAAAAATTACGAATTTATTTACTTGAATGAAACAAATTAACTACCATAATACAATCGAAAGTAAAGTATGTTTACTTTGTGGCGACACGAGAGTAACACAAATAACTCCTAAGGAATACCAAGGGTGGTGGCTTTTAGGTATAGCTGATTGAATAAAAGTTAGTAAGAATGTCTACGAAATTTTATTACCTACGTTATGAATGCATCTAAACGGGTCTGATATTGTTTTAGAAATCAGTATTCTGCTTTTATACTCATGTATAAAGTGTTCAAATTGATTGTGAAATTTTAAGAATATGGATTAAATTTACTAGTCCCTCTATCAAACTCCCTGTTTTTTTAATTTCCAATTTTATTAATTTGAAAGCTGCTCATCCAAGATTGAGTTTTCATATTGTCAGGTAATTCAATTAATATGTTATATTAAATATAGATAGTATAAATAAAATATATGTATATACAAATAGCTAAAAAAACAGTACCAGCAACCTCTATTTTGTTTCTATTACAACAATTATCTATATGTATCTTGAAAACTGATCTTTCATGTTAACGTAATACAAATAAACTGATAAATTAATGTAAATATGATCCCACATGACACTGTGACTAAAATGACACCATAGACATCAATGAATTAATTACATTGATACAGTGCCTTTGTTAAATTAAATTTAAAAATATAAAACAGTTATGAGAATAATAATAATAAAACTCTTTACTGCGCACTTATAAAAAGTAAAACGTATAAAAGGAACACTTTGTAATAATGTGCTTAATAAAAAGGAGGCCTTATTGTTTAATTATTTTTAATTTAATCAAGATGATTCTACAATTAAATATACGACAAAGGTCTAACAAGAAGAAGTGTTTGTTTGACATTAGTTCAAAATAAATGTGAAATATTAAATTAATTTGGTAATATAATACGTATATGATATTGCCAAAAAAATAGTTCAAGTTCTAAACATGTTTTTATTTTAACTAATTTATTTGCGCTCCTTGAACTTTGAGAATAATTTTAGATAAATCAACATTTTACCTATTAGAATATCACCGTGTCCTGCTTAATATACGGTTTGTGGCAAAATATTCAATAGCTATCTTATGTTTCAGATTGAAACAAAATAATGCGTACATTGTTAGTAAAGGGCATAAATTGGTAACATGATGATACCATTTATTCTCCCAGACGAGTCACAGTAAAACTAACAATCTGAGTTTTACTGTGAGATTGTTATAGCAACTACTCTCTGGAGCGGCAACCCTATACCAAAGATATTACAGTATTTATTGTTGATTGACATATTTTATCACCTGAAATGGTAGTATATTTCTTATCGCGTCCTAGTAAAACTTCACACAGTAACATCACATCACAATAAGGAAACTTTCTGAAGACATATAATTAAGTTGAATACAAAATTAGATTATGTTCATTAATAACATATTTTTTAATGAACTGGAATATTAATGTTTTAATTTATTGTTCTTCATTCTTGTTGTTATCGATTTAGTTTTTCTATAACTTTCAAATGTTATCGAGAACGCGGAATAGCAACTTATGAGTCAATGACGGATATGTGGTACTGTTCATATATATTTATATAAAGGCGGAGTACAATTTACTATAAAGTGGATTATCCGCTTGTTCATCATCATGTCCATGTTCTGGGGATCGATCTCCGTACAGTGAGAAAAGTTGTATTTACAACTATGCATTATGTACAATATACTGCAAAATTAAAACCTTTCTATTTGAAGTTAATTACGTAAAAGATGTAATATTGCTGTATAAGTCTCTTTTGTAAAAAGTTAACGCTCGCTCAGTGAAAAAGTAATTTATGAAAAAAGGAATATCCTTGACTTATGTTTATTGTATTTCTTCATTAAGTAAACAAAGAATAATACTGCTATTATTGGTACATGAGAAGGAAAACTCTGGATGAAACTAAAGGAAGTTGGTATTGTTGAGCTAAATCCTTCTTTTACAAGGAGAAGTTCTATTGAAGACATTGAAAAAATATATGGTATGACGAATTTAGTTACGTCTCGCGGCTACATCGTTATCTGGATAAGATACTGGGCTGAAAAATAACAATCCTGTCTTTTGGGACGAGTTTTTACTTCATTGCTTTTCTAAATATATTTGTTATATATACATATGTACTATGTGTAAACAGTTTCGATCGATGTCTTTCTTCATTTCCTTTCAGCTATATAATAATAATTGGTAATATACCTAGCCGTAAATTTGAATAATACATTAAGTACTGTCCCAAAAACTATGAGCCAGTTGGGCGCAGCACTTGCTTTATATATTAATAGGGATTTAGGACGAATCAAATTGGGAAAATTAAGCAACAATAAACCACGAAACGTTTCATCTTGGCGCAACCGGGTTTCATAATGAACAATCGTTAAACAGAAGTAACTGGAAATCCTTTCATAAATTCTAGCAAACGATACAGTGCGATGCAGATAAAACTTGGTAGATACCTATAGTGTGAATATTATTTAGTATTATTGTATCTGTTTCGACTACGTTAAGACTATGTTTTCGTCATAAGACGTGTCTACATCTTTTTATAAATTAAGAATTCATTTTTGTTTTCCTTTCACTTTGTTTACACACAAATATATTTACTGAGGTAGGTATACTGTAAACAGCAGTCTGAGTGGTACTTTAGTCTCCACTGTTTCAGCCGACAAGCAGTTTTTTTTGTAAGCTGCATGTGTTTGGTTGTAGAGTGCAGTTTAGGCAGTGAAATCGTAGGATAATGGGTATGATATCTTAATCTTCCAGAATGGTAGCGTATGTATAACCATTAAAAAGATTTACACGTTTCTTTCTCATAACAAGATATAGTTATATCCTATAAAAAGATGGACAAAATAAGCTGATACATATGTATAAATAAATATGCCTGGACATATTTGTCCAGGATACAACGCCATCTAGTCCCACGGTACGCAGAGCTTGTGTTATGGGTACTAGACAACTGATATATATATATAGAAAACACCCAGACTGATACAAATAATATATCTACACATGAATATAAATATTTGCACCGTGCGAGGAATCGAACCCGCGACCATCGAAGCGGTGTGCCAAACCGCTAGACCACCGAGGCCGTCACCATACGTCACATTAGTTCTCTGTACTATATAATTTCACTGTCATATCTCGACTTTTGCTTAATTATTAAATAAAAAGCTTTCAATGTAGAATATATTTAGGTTGGCGAATGAAATCGGTGTGACAGAGGTATTCACGCAGACGACATTGCATAATGTCTACAGTAGTCTAATACTTAATTGAAAAAATATGTATAATACATAAATACAACCGTGGCGCAATTATTTAGATTCATACCCGGAGGGTCTGGTTGTTTGAATACGAAAAAAGACTGTTTACTTTCAAAATTAATAAAATCTTTTGTTTTTAATATCAGCAACCGAGATGATGTCCCATTGTTGTTTTGATGTTTGGTATTGGGTTTATTAATTGTAAAAAGTTTATTATTGATCTCTTAGTAAATTTGCGAATAATTGTTTTAGGGAAAGTTTGTGGGGCTATATACTCGTAAATGTGTATTTGTTACTTTTTCACGCGAAACCTAGAAAATAGGTGCACAGTTATATCGAATCCTACAATAACAAATATATTTTTTATCAGAATTCACGTTGACAGCGCTGTGAGATATGAGCAGAGCTCTTCAGAATTATAAATAGAGAAATAATGATAAAATATGTATATGTTAGAATCAAGTTTAACCTGTATTTTTAAATTAACTTTAAATTAATTGAAATGACATACATAATATAGACTTAATTTTAATTTCATACTCAAAATTATTTTCGAACGTTACCTTAAAGAGCCGTTTTGAAATTAAATTAAATATCCAATGTTAATTGAACCTAACATCAAACATTCACTTAATTTCATAATGGTGTTATCAGAATATTAGAAAGATGTACTCACTGTCAATATTATATGTTTATGTTATGAGACATGGCGTGAAGATTGCTTTTTATACTAAGATGGTGGCAAACAAGAATACGGCCCATCTAATGGTAAATGGTTACCGTCAAATATATACCTTCGTTTGTTATTTGATAATGACATCGTATACTGTAGATAAGTTTTAGATTTTGAAATCAACATGGTTTAGCTGGCTAAATTCTTGGCTAAAATGTTAATTTATATACACTTTAATTGTGTTCTTTTATTGTTAATTTTTAAAAGAACCATTAAATACATACATTAAATTATCATGAAACTTTTAGTTGATATTATATTTATTGATAATCACGATGCTATTAAAAGTCCATGATTTAGTTAGTCAACCTATGTGCGATTTATAAATATATATTATCTGACCTATAAACATTGTTATTACCAATTAACAGTAGAGGGTATATTATATATTCCATACATATATCGACTTCATAAATGTTTAATTAATTCGACAATTTAATTGTAAGCCATATTTCGAAGTAATTAATTAGGAGGTTAAGTGTAGAAAATACACAATAAATTGGCAAATAGCTTCTAAATTACTCCTGACAAAATTCTATGGAAATATTTTTCCGACGAAATGGAGCGTTGAAATATGATATATAGGTGTTGCTATTATCATATACAGGTAATATAATAATGTTTCACCTAACGTTAACGAATAATGACGTAAGCGTATTGTACCTGTTGCTGAAATGTAATGCATAAGTAATTTCCATGTGGATATCTGTAATGATGTATAGAGATACCTCAATACACAATATTTTATAGAGGGACCCTAAAATCTGCATATTCCTGATTGTGCGTAGTCCTATAGGCTATTTGGAGGGAAGTTTGAATTTATAGCGATAACCGATGCAATTTAGACGCCATCTTGCTCGATGCTGAGTGGCTCGTCGAATATTCGTGCTTCGGATGTCATTTGTTATTTTTTTATAGATCTGAAGATTTATCTTACATGATTCATTGGTTGGAAATGACTAATAACTTGAAAGGAAATACGAGAAATCCGAGCTTCTTAAATAATATATCTTGCGCGCTGAAGTGAGGAAGGGACATAAAATGGAATGAAGTAGCTTTATTGCCTTGTGCACGAATAAGTTATTCCAATGAAATTGTAACTACAATATAACATTATAGAGAAAATATGATATATGATTAATGTTCTTTGTCAACTAGTAATGCATGGTTCTTACTTATTTACTAGTGTATATGCTGTAAGGAATATTATAATAACTTACTAGTTATGACTATGTGTAGGCAGGTACTTAAATCAGATTTATTAAGAAAATTTGTTTGTTGGATTGCGGTGGTTAAATAATTATTATTACATTAAGTAACTACACGATTTTTTTGTATAATAACATGCTTGTGTTGTTTGATTTTTGGAAACTGTTGGAACATTTCCCTATACAATATAACAGAATATCGACAGTATAACGAAATAAAAATAAACCGGTTTCTTAGAATGTAAATAAAATTATATATTTTCATGACTACTATGCTAAATAAACTTTATATATAAAGAACACGAGTAGAGTTTATCAAAGCAATTAATGTGAGCAATCAAGTAACAAGTTTCGATTACGACTACGTGCGTCCTTACTTAAATCTACTATATATAACTTACAAAAGCCTCATGAACTATAGTCATTTCAATGAGTAATAATTAAAAAAAATAAAAATGGTGAATACCTAATAAACATACGTATTGCAGCTCTGCGATGGAGGCGAACACGCGTTAGACGAGAAGTCACCTTGGATGAATCACTGGGGTTGGGTGAGGCAGCGTGACCAGCCCTATTGCTCTCCTCAGAGCATCTCTAATAGCAGTCTACGAGAAGTCGAGGAAGAATTGACTGGAGAAGAACTGGCTACGTATATGTACCAAGTCAACCGTGACATAGGAGGACTTACCTGAGACACGCCGGTCTAAAACTGGTATGAAACACCAGTTTTTGAAATACGCTTATCAATAGTCAGCAGGCCGATGGGAGAGTTTGGTGTTTACTTTTACAAATGTCTGTTACCGGTTTATCACTTAAATACAATTAGACTAAATAATAGAGATTTTTCCTTTTGCATATAAATTAGCATACTACAATATTTAGTCGGGTTTCTGATTTGACTGCGCTTACTTTCAACTAATTGGTAATTTAAATTAATTATTATAAATTCGACATTAAACAAACTTTAATTTCGAACTGTTTCAATTCAGAATCCAGTCAATTGCGTAAACTTTACAAATTATTGCTACATAGCGTTATTATTATTGTTTATTAATTAGTAATTAATTATTACAATTGCATGCTGTGATATTGGCCGTCCGCTTTACTTTTTTTTTCGTCCATTGTTTCCAAAAGTTTAGACAACAACGGCATGTTTAAAACATTAAATGTAATTTAATAATATAAACGCTAAATTTATTCAGTCACTAATATATCTTTATAAATCACGTTAATCAATAAAATATTCTTACATTTATATTATCTAATTGATGTGAAGGTTGTAGAAAAACATAACTTTACACACGAAATTAGCGTTTAGAACTAGTTAATAAACTCAGTTTTTAGGTAAATTCTTACTTACCGTAAATATCCTGAATAGAACTATGCAACTGTTTAGAAAAGATTGTGGTGTTGTTATATATACAATATTGTGTAAATTGGCACTCCGGTTCAATCATACACTACGAATACTAACACGTCTTAACTGTTTTTTTTAAATTATACATGTTTAGAATATGCAAGTTCTTAATTATATATATAATATTAAAATAAAGTACATAATTAATAACATTTTACACGACTCAATTCTAAATATTTGAAACAATATATTACCTACTTTTTATTACGTAAAACTAAGATTTATCTGTACTAAGGTATAATTATGGATGAATTGGAAAATAAATATTTTTCTCGTATAGATATTATAAATATGTAAAAATCATATAATTATTTTATTGTTCTGTTTGATCTGATTTACAAACAAAAATAATGCTACCTGGCACTTATTTGTTAAATTGTGTTGAAATTCTCCGTTATTGGGTCTATATTTGTTTAATTCGTTTATTTGTAATGGACCCTGTCTGTAGTAATATGTATATATATAGTGCTTAGAGAGATTTTGTGAATCATATTATTCTTTCTTGGGTTTAATTCTTTATTACATAGAATTAGACACAAATTCACATTTTAAATTAGCTTATGTAGCTTGTGACTTTTCTTACCTACTTGTCGTCTAGTACTATAATGTGTATGAGATGAGGTACATTTGCGCATTCAGCGTTGCGTGTGCGTACATTAATTTATTATTATCTATTTTCGTAGGTATAGTAGGTATATCATCGACTAACATAATATTTGTGACATAGTCTCTATATATTATTTGGAAAGAAAATATAATACAAGATAAAATACCTTACGTTATATATTTGGTACATTTTTACATACCTTTTAACATATGAATAATTTATTTAACAATATGTCGCAATATTAAAGTAAAAACTTAATTTTTGAAGCTTGATCAAAATCATAGAAATATTATTAAAAATACTCATAATGAAGGTCTATTCATGTAATGTCATATCTACTTTATTAAATACAAATCTAATTATACGATGCAGCAAAAACATCTACTGATTGACTTCATTACGAATGTATAATTTATATTCCATATTTAAAATGTCATGTAAACATTACTTATTCTTTTTATAAATGCATGATTCGATTTTTTATCACATATATCATATCGAAATAGGAAAATACATTCACTTGTACTTACAATTTCAATATATAACTATTGTTAGGTTCGGTAGTCTGGTTAAATCATAAAATCGTCTTTCTTCCGAAAGTTACATATTTGATTATCGCACTATAAAAATAATGTATTAATCATTATTTGTATTGGTCTGGTACTTAAGTATTTCTATCCCTTCTTTAGTATTCATAATAGTAATTTAACTATTATATGTTGATATTATTATATCGTAACGAAGTTAGTACAACATCATAATCGAATAACGTATGTATGCATCGATTATTGCACAATGTTGCTGTATGCGATATATATTTTTAATAATATCAGTACAATATGTTGGAATTCTATTAAAGTTACGATGCGGGGTAGCAACAAAATTACACGTGTATATTAAGTTCCTGTTACACTACAATACTATAATTATTCTGTTCACTTGGCTTTGTCTTTTTGGGTTTGTTAAAAGATATTCAAGCTTATTTAAAACAAACAATTAATTCATCATTTGTTTTAATGAATTATTCATTAGGTATATATCTCCCAGTGTAACGAGCGTACATAATGCGTCAATGTTTCAGACTGCAAGTTTTTTAAGGATTGTTAAATAACATTCACACACTTGAATTTAAAATTTCTTACTGTAGCTGTCAGTACATAAATTAAGATTCGAAGGTAACACCATGATAATTTTTTAGCAATATTATTAAAAGATTGGCTGTTATAAGTTAAGCAAAGAGCTATTTCGATATGTATCTGTTTATGTATATTGTAATTTTATAGATTATTTATTTTATCAGTTAGTAGATGTGATAACGAACAATGTACTGCAAGAATCACACAACCATATATTTTATTCACATCAATGGATAATCTGAATTGAATCAAACGATCTTTTGTTAAAAAATATTATTTCAGATTCATCCAGATAAAACACCAGCGGATAGTGTAAATAATTATTTTGATGACGTTATTTATTTTCTCACAAATATAAATTCCTTAGATGTTATTTCAATAAAAGAATTGATTAGAAAGAAACAAAATGTAAAGATATAGGAAGATTGTTATAATACGTAGTTGAAATAAATATGTATTAATGTATATTTTGTAGAAATCTATTCAGATTTTAACAAAGATATCGCATAAGAAACATGTAATAATTTGAAAAACTTCGAAAATAATCTATCTCGAAAATTTCCGCTTTCCTTTTCTGCTCTATGTAGTACTAGGTAACAAACATCAGGTTACGATAATAAAGGGATGGCATATTTGAGGAAACGCAAAAATAATATAAGGTCTTTCTGATATAACAACAAACGAACTTTTATTAATAAAGGTTAGAAAATTTCAGGAAGTTTATGAATTACGTCACTTTTGTGATTTGTTGAGATAAATGTTATTAGTACAGATCACTAACACGTATTTAGTTATTAATGAGAGTTGAAATCGACTGTCAGCATGTTTGGCATTCTAATTACACCAGAAATTATATTATTTTGAGCTTCTTCTGTCTACAGGTGACAATTAACGTTGTAGTTTTTTATTCGTAAAACAGAATTTTTGGTAAATTGGTGAAAAGCTGTATACATATATATTTATATGTAGGTAGGTGTTTATTATACGTACTTATCATTGGAACATATTATATCACATAGTATGAGTTTTCAATCCGAAAGTCAATTGAAAATTTAATAGAACTCGTAATATGCTTAGAGCATTCAGATCGATATTTTCATTAAACTTCGAGATTGCGATTTTGGAACACGCTGAAACTCATATATGAGGTCGTGTTAGAGGAGAGAGAGGATTGTATCGGATCGATATTGGAGTAAACTTTATTACACTACGAATCGATTGCAAAAATAAATTATTGCAATCGGTTTCGTTTTTTAAATAATCTTACGAAACCCAAAATATTTTTGTATATAGGGAACTTTAAAATTAGTATTTAAAATATACATATTTAATATTATAAGAGTTATCATAAGTTTTCACGTCATGTGTCCTCGGAAGTATTTTAATATGCTTCAATAATAAAACGTAATATACTACTATTAATTTTATTCCTCGGTGCTCTTTCTTGCTTAGCAGCCTTAGGAGTTGAGTTCGAAGAATTAAATATTTTTTATGGATTCTTGGTTTCTTTAATAGATTATATTAAAATGAAATCCATGAAGAGAACGTTCTAATTTGCAAAATAAATACAAACTATTATGTTTACCATATTTGGAGTTCCAATTTGAGTTTCAACTCGGTGTGATAGGTTTTCTTGTTCGTTAGGTGCTTCCATATTTATTTTCCTTCTTGATTGTATGTGAGCCATAAAACTCTGTAAGAAGTCTACACAAATTTGATTTGGTAACGTTGCGATAAACATTTTCTCCTTAGATCTCAGTTTTTTATTTATCAATTTGGAAGACTTGGCGATTTGATATTCTAAATTTTTTATCGACAAAAATGTCATTAAAGTAGGCCATTTTAATTGGGCATTACTATGTGTATATATGTAAATATTTTGTTCTGGAATTACTAGGATAGATACATAACATACTAAGCGACATATGGGCATGTAGTGTTGTGTTCACTATAACATCAACAGTTGACAACGCCTCTGACTACCCCATCTGGGATGACAGTCGTGATGGTAAATATGTTTATGTTTAGGTTCCAATTAAGTGATCTTTGGTAGAAAATAAATTGTATAGAATTTAATGTGGCAGTTTATTTAGACATATTATGCATATATATAAATTGCCATGTAATATAATATTAGTATATAAATTATTATTAAACAGATCATTCACAGTCATTCATAGTTTATGAATTGTAAATAATTTTTTTATACAATAGTGATCTAGTCTGACTTGAAATGTATTTTTTTTACTTATTTTACGTATAACTTTACTTTATCGTCTGAATAGAAATCTATTTATTATTTTAAGCAAATATGGAGTAGGTACATTTTGTAATATTTTCGTGATATTAGCCATCAGTTTGTAGACAATTATCTGTAGTATAATAGATATATAAAACAATTTATTATAGAATCACCAAGCTACCTTCTTGGCCATTATCAGGTTAAGTATTCTTATTATTACAATTTGTATCATTATTTGAAATGTACTTTATTAAAAAGAATACAAATTGGTGCTTAATGTGATTATAGAATACAAACGTAAAATTATACATTCAATGATTGATAATATATTATGAAATTATTGGAAAAATATTGTATCATAAATTGCCTTTTAAAGTTAGCGAATATTTGTGCGTGATGCAATTTTAAGCTAAATGTACA